TACTATTAACATGTTCAATATTATTAATTAAAAAATATTATTAATTAAATATTATATTACATTAATTTTATATATAATATAATATGTAATATTATATATAATATAATATGTAATTTTTTATATAATATAATATGTAATATGATATATAATATCATTTTTTAATATGATAGATTATTACTATTTTTATTGTAGCAATAAAATATTATTTAATATTATAACTTCCATAACATTGACAATATATTAAGAGTATTAATTAATATAATAAAGTGTATTAGAAAATAGTAAATTATTATATAATTTAAAATATTCTATATAATATAATATGTTAACATATTAAATTATTTATAATATAATTAATATATTATTATAGTCGCGTGCACTAGGAGTACTAGAATTTTATGAAGAGAAGTACTTCACCACACCTATAATTCGTGGACAGCCTAATTTTCGGACCGCGTGTAAGCCTTCTTCTTCTTTGTGGTCGATGATTCTTGAGATGACACTTGTTGTGTTGCGGATTGCGAGAACTCGATGAGATGACCTTCTTCTACAACTTTTGTATAGAACGGCGAGTATAAGGTCGATCCTTCACCGGTAAGGAGTTGTGAATAGTAGTCGTTTTGGGAGGGATCCATGAGATTTGTAATTTGATAGGAAAATATAGAGTTTTTTATGAGAGAGTTGTGTGGAATGATTTGTGTAGTGAATTGTGAATTTATAGAGTTTTTTTACTGTTCAACGGCATTATTTTTCAACTCTAACGGCTCATTTTTAACGGTCATTTTCCTAACTCAACGGCAAGGAAATTTCATTTTCACTCAACGGCATTTATTTTATTTATTTCATTTAAGAAAATTTCATTTATTTCAACTCTTCAGGCTCATTTTTCACCTCTTCATCTCCCCAACCCCAAACCCAGGCCTCTTCATCTCCCCAACCCCAAAAACCAGACCACTTCATCTTCCTTCGAATCACATCCAGGCCTCTTCATCTCCCGTCGAATCAAACCCGCGGCCTTGAGACGAAACAAAAGAGACGGAGCTCTGGCTTCCCAACCCCAAACCCTCTCCCGCAACCTCCGCCGCTGCTGATTGGAGAGGGTCCAACTACGAAGGTGAAGTTCGCGCAGAACACGGAGACTGGGGATCGATTTGCGAAGGTGAAGTTCGCGTCGCACACAAAAGGTTGGATTTTTTGCTTCAAATTTGGGCAGATTTTACTATTTTTCAGCTCTGCAATTGTGTACTTGGTGGGGGGGGTTGTTAAATTCTTTCCCAGTTGGGAGCTCCCAAGCGCTCCACAAATTTGTGGAGCGCTTGGTCGGAAGCTCTCAAGAGCCACGTCAGCCTAAGGAGCGGGGCTTGGGAGCGGTTAGGAGGTTGCTGGAGGGGGGCTGTCGTTTTCCACGGCCATGTCAGCCTTGAGAGCTCTCTTTAGAGCTTGCTGCCCTTGCTCTTATATCTAGGGTGTACAAGAATATCCATATCCGAGGAAATATCTATAGCCATATATGTTATGATTCAGATATTGTTACTAAAGTATATAACCAACAGGACATGGTTACAAATATTATTATTGAATGAAATGTCTAGATCCAAATTCGAAATATCTGAATATATATCGGCTATACTATTGCAACAGCTTTAATCCTTAGATTAATGGATTTGAGGTGAATTTTTGATGTATGATCAACACACCTAATATTGGTTTTTCAGTTATAATGAGCATATGCATAAGATCTCTTGTACAATACAAACAATATATATCTTTCAATATTATCTGGTTTTCTTATACCTATTCAGTTATAATGAACATATGCATAAGATCTCTTGTACAATACAAACAATATATATCTTTCAATATTATCTGGTTTTCTTATACCTATTTTTTATCTGCACGTATATCAGCTTAGATATCCGCATGCATATCGGTATCCATATCTGATTTTAGTAGATATGGATATGAACTTTTCTTACGAAGGCATTTCGATATTCGTCTGTGATTTGTAAGTGGAGATGGATATGGTAAGTATCATATCTAGCTGTGTCCTCCCTTGCTTATATCCCTTCTCGTCTACTTTCTCTCTGATGAAGGCCAATGAAATTTATAGCCATTTTCTTTCTTTTCTCTAATACCGCAAGACTAATATCTATCTTTATGTAACATATTTCTATGCATGTCTGCATTACGCTCAGTAGAACAAAGAGTCATAAAATCAATGTCTTGTACCATCCCCTTTTAAACAAGCAAAATTAGTTGAGCAACAGGCAAACAGTAAAACGCAAAACTGGTATAAAACTACATTTCAAATAAAATCACATATCACATTACTTTGTTAGCAGATTACAATTATCTGTTATGCTATTGACCTACGAGAAGGAAGATATCATGTACATTGAAGATGCCAATCTCTCGCCTTTTCAGAACCACTCAGGTTTTTCTCAACACTTCAGCAAATTTCTTGAGCTCAATCTTCTCAGGACTATCAGTGGACTTATCATAACTCAAATCATTCTGATGATTACCTGTCGATCTCTCAACCAAAGAGCTCATGGTTTGATGGCTATACGACCTATCAATATTGAAATTATGCCGTTCGCTTTGTATATCTAAAGACTGACTCCCATTAGACTCAGTTATCGATGGAGATGAACTATTACATGAAACCCTGCCAATAGTATCATCAACAGAATAACTCGAAAAAGATGTTCTCTTTTCAGAATCAGAACAACTTATCCTGCTTCTCTCTGTCAATAACGAAGCTTTATTATTACCACCATGAGCATCTTTTCCCAAAACCAACTTCTTGAGCTTACGAAGAAACTTTGATTTGCTCGAAGAACTTTTTGATGTGTAATTTGAAGAACAAGAATAATAGTCTATGTCAGAATCGACAGGGTGCAATCTTTTTTCATCAGCATCAGAATGAGCATACTCAACTATAAGCTGTTTGGCTTTCTGTTCTGATTTTGGGCTTAATGTTTTGCTCAGGTCTCTTGCTACTGTTTTTCCTGGAGGAGCTTGATAGTTTCTTACCTCGTAGCGGAGGCAAGCATTGACCCATCTGAGATAGACTAATTCCTCTAAATCGGAGCAACGATCGGTTTGAAGTTGCTCCATTTCCTTTGTTAGCTTGTTGTTTTCTTCTCTTAAGTGCCTGACTTCCTCCAGAGCTTCAGACTGCAACATAACAGGAACTGGTTTAAAATTTCTTTTTTTTTAAAAACTTAATTCTAGGGACTGAAGTATTTATGTACTTGTTATGTTCATTTTTTCTCGTCCTGGTATGTTTCGTTAAATTTTTCGTAATAAACCATAAATAGAATATTAATTATTCGAGATAATAGGTTAGGATAAACATGGGAACATCAGAGAAAAAAAATAAAATTACAAGAAAAAGATGCAAGGTGTAAGGAGTAACTTCAACAAAACATGTCACTGGTTTAGCATATAGTGAACACATTATAGTGAATTTTTTGGTACAGAACCCTTGGGGAGTGTGAGTATCGCAAGAAATTTTAAAGGAATGTAACATTCAAAGCTTTCAGCCTGAACTGGTTTACAATTTGATATGTTAGCTTATTCTAGGGATTGGTGTATAGATGTATTCATTTGGTGCACTTATCTCATATGTGAAATCTCTCATTAAATCTTTGGAATGGAGCGTGAAGGGTGGAAATCGCTGCTTATTCTTTTTTTTTAAAAGGGTCAATTATTCAAGATAATAGGTTAGGTAAATACAGGCCAATCAGATGTAAGGTCTAAAGTAGCCAGGTGTCAGGAGTAATTAAACAAAGCAGTCAATAGTTTAATATAAAGGTAGTTAAATTTTGTTTTCATAGCCCTATGGAAGCAGACGTCTAAGAATTTACTAAAAGGAAGTGTTGAAAGGAATGTTAATTCAAAACTCAATCTATCTACACAATGAGCACTTTGCAGAGATGTGATGCAAGTACGATACATAAACATCAAAATGATACTATATGTACGGTACCTTGTAATAATTTCAACTTTCTTTAATTTATCTACCCATCCTAAATCTGTAAATCCTAATCCATCACAATCTGACACATTTTTATTTTTAACTTCGCTTATAATCTTAAATATATTTAAATAAATGAAACTCATTAATTTGGTTTACATTTTGGTTTACTGGTAGAGCACCATAAGTTTACCTCCTTTGATTCAATACTCACATACATGACAAGATTGCTTCTGTTAATTTAATATTCAAAACATAGCATAGTAACATCTAGTTCCCAATCTTCAGAAATATATCAAAATCATCAAATATGAAACGAAAATGGTACAAAAAACTGAAACAGGCTAAATATTGTGCACAGTGAGCAAAATAGAGTGTAATGACTACCTCTTGACCCTCAAGAAGCGACTTTTCCAACTTCCTGCTCAATTCCAAATTCTCCTGTTGCAGCTCAGAATTAAGCATTCTGAGATTCACGGCCTCATCTTCCAATTCCTTCAGCCTCTTCAACTTCCTTTCGAAAGCCTCATGATCTCTCTCATCCAAATCTACCCTACTCTGCAACATAGAAATCTTCATTTGAAGTCCAGTCATTTTCTCATTCATCTCCTCTCCATCAGTTCTCAACTTCCTCTTCAAATACTTGACCGTTGATCTTGCATTCTCAAGCTCATTCATGGTTCTCGAGCAATCAAACAGCTGAACTTGAAGCCTCTGATTCTCAGCCTGCAAAGCTTCAATCTTTAGCGAGAAAATCTTCGATTCCATAGTGTTCATCTTCACTTGGCTTTCAAGATCCCTCATAATTGCTTCTTGCTCTTGTAATCCATAGTATTCGAGCAATTGGAGCTCGAGGCTTCTCTCCCTTTCTCTTAAGGACAGCACCAAGTTTTTAAGCTGTGCTATTTCCTGTTCCATTGCCATCTCTCCTTTAGATTCTCCCTTCTTTGGTGTTAGATTGGTTGGTGTTCCCTCAAATTCTTTAAAAACTAAGTCATTGAACTCAGGAAGAAGAAATCCATCATCTTCAGAGCTCTTACTCGTCGGTGAGAGACCAATGAAATGGGTGGTGGTCGTGGTGGTTGTAGTGGTGGTGGAAGTGCCATTGATAATCTTTGCCAAAGCTTCTTCCTTTTTTGAATGAAAATTAAATGGGTAAATTACCATAAACTCCTTTTATCTACACCTTGTTTTTCATGAAACCCACTCATTTAAAATTTAAACAAAAAAAAAAAAAAAATCCCCTCATCTATGATCATTAATAAAACAGATAGTTTCATAGTGCAAGTTGTGCAGATGTCCGAGTGCAGAATTCTATGGTAATGATAAAAGGTTCGACATTTTACTTTACTAGATTAGTAATGTTTTTCTCCAATTTTCTTCCTTCGAATATTGAAGTACGAGCATATATTCATACATCTATTCAAGTGAAAACGTCTGTGCATACATTTGAAGAACAAATTTTATTATAAAATTAACGGATTCACTGATGATCATAGATGAGTGGAATTTTTGTTGAAGTTTTCAAATAAAGATAATTATTTAAAAAAAACAGGGTACAGATGAGAGAGGTTTCTTGTAATTTATCCCAACCAAATTTATCAAATATCAATCAGTACCCATGATTCCAAATTGCAATAAAGAAAATAGGGTTTGCATAAATTTGAATTCTTACACTTCTCAGAATGTGAAGCTCGTCTTTGAGGCCCTTGCCACCTGCTTCAGCTTTCACTGCGGAAAAACAACAAACAGATTGTGAGCACTATCAACGTTCAATGACATACGACAATCAAAGAAAGTTATAAGAAAAACCTGAAGGACGTTTCGAGCAACGGCGATAATAGATATGGGAGAGTAAGAATCCAGCAAAAGAGAGAGCAAGAGCAAAACCCAGTTTAACAACAAAAGGCTTAATCCCTTTCTTCTCTATCGGGAAGGAGTAAAAAAAACAAATGGAAGAACTCTACAGGGTTTTCTAGATTTGGCTCTAGGTTCGTGAATTTGAAACGAGGAGAGAAGAGGGAGAGATTGAGGTTTGGATTCTCGTTTCATTTTTGGATTCGTGAAGAGGATTCGTTTGATTCAATTTGTTTTGTTTGAAGTTGTGAAAGCGTGCGGACGAGCGCAATAAACGCTCCTCTTTCCTCTCTTAATTACTTCTATATCTACATATCTAAAAGTAAGCATGTCGCATGTTGCCGGCGGAGAGAGATAATCGCGCAGAGATATAGCTGTCAGTCGCAAAGCACCCGCCAAAAAAACAGGCCGGACAAAGAGCCGAGCCGCGGGCCGGTTGCCCTGGGTCGGATCTGAACCCGGGATCGGACCTAAGCGGGCTGAATTTTTTTATTTTTTGATTTTTAAAAATCTTTTTAAAATTTAAAATATACATAAAATTATAAGAAATGCTAATAAAAAATAATAATATTATTAATAACTTAAAATAACATAAATTACAAATACAAAAATTATAAAAATAAAAGATGATAAAAATAACTTTTTTATTAATAATTAATAAATCCTTTACAAGTATAAATTTATTTCGGAATTCGTCGCATCACAATAGATGAGTACATCCCAACTAGGTTGGCACCTACTCACCTATATCATTATCATTTGTAACTGTTTCCAAAATAATTCATTACAAATTTAAAGCTAAGAAATAAAAACTACAATTTGATGAATATTGTTTAATCTTTATATCTATCTGCTAGTCCCAACTATTCAAATTTATCTTCAATTCCAGCCATCCGATCGATGTCTTGCGTTCGCTTCTCATACATCCACCAATCTTGTAAGCATATCACCGCTTGTACAATATACGAATCTAAGCATGTTCTGTGGTCGTCGATTAAACGTCCTGCTGTGCTGAAGGCGAATTCCGAAGCTACCGTCAAAACCTACACTGCTAGTAAGTCACGAACCATAGTGGGAAGTATAGGATATGAAACTGATCCATATACTCTCCACCATTGTAAAATATCTAAAGTATTTCCTTGACATTTAACTAAAGAAGCAGATAAATATTCATCTATTTCAAAAACCTCTAATGATGATTCAAGTCCAGATCCACCAGTTAGCCCAGCTACCATTGCATATCTAACAAAACTTACACTTTTACCTCAGCTCGTGCTCGAAGGCGCCGAAGCTGTAGACTATTGTGCAGCTACAACATGTCTTTCTGCATACTCATCATATAAGGTTTGAAAATAATTTCTAATAACTAGATGAGAAGTAACAGTAATGGTGGATCCATCATCTAAGTCTATAATCTATCCATCATACAATGATTGTAACAAACTTCGAAGGCCAATATCCTTCAAACATGGATCAATAAGAACCCCAAACCAAAAAATATGAGGAATATGTCTAAAATACTTATTAAATGTGCTCTCCATTTGAAAAATTATAGCTCCAAAAGTATCATTCATACGATATTTAGCAAATTTTTTTAAATATTTAAAATTTGTAAAGCAGTTAAAGTAATAGTTGGATAATAACAGTCAGATAATAACATTATAGCATTATAAAAAACTTGTAACATCTCATTTAAATTACATATAATTATCCATTCATCTTCAGTTATTCCATAAGTGATACCAGAGCTAGAACTAGAAGCATAATAATTTATAAAATTATTTATAATTTCTTTATATTCTATTGTCACACTTAACGTTGCATAGGTGGAATTACACCTATGGTCAACATCTTTTAAAATTAGTCTGAGCTTATAATTTTTTCTTTTACAAAATTATTTTTATCTTTTAAGTTTTTGTTCAGAAATATTATGCATATAAGCAACTGTTCTAACCCTTTCTACCATGAGTTTAATTTTAGTAAATGCATTTTGAATAATTAAATTTAAAATATGACAGATATATCTAATATAAACAAGATCACCATGACATGACAATGACATAGTTGTTTTGATAAAATTAACAACTACATTGTTATTACTTGTATTATCTAGTGAAAGAGAAAATATTCTTTGATCGATTTCTAATTTTATAAGTTCTTCAATTATTAAATTTGCAACATTAATATTAGTATGTGACTCTTCAATTGTAATAAAGGAAATAACTCTTTAAAACATTGCTAATTTTTATCAATCCAGTGTATTGTGATACATAAATAACCAGTTTGTGCTCTAGATGTCCAAATATCAGAAGTTAAAAAAATCTACAGTTTAAATTTTTAAAATAAGAAATTATTTTTCCTTGTTCCTCCTGATAATATTTTAAAATATCACATTGACAGGTTTGACGAGAAAATTTTGTAAATGCGGGATAAAAACTATCTCTAAACATATCTTCAAATTCATCATCTTCTACTAATTTAAAAGGAATGTTTTTAAGAATGATAAACCTGATAACGTATTTTCTGGCTCGGGCAGCATCATAATTCTAACTACCGAGACTATCATAAGAGGATGATTAGGAAATCATAGATTGTTGGATATCACCTTGAGGATTTCGGCCTTTGTTGTGTTTTTCTATATGACGTTTGAGGTGGTTGGTGTCGCTCTTATGATGAGCTTGGAAAGTCTTGCCCCACAACACACATTTAGCCTTCCGGGTGAGTATCCTACCGTGTTCATCCTTGGTGACGTCTATCTTCTCAAAAAAATTCTACACATCGGATCTCGGCCTTTTAGGAGCTATTGGTGTAGAATCGTCACTACCGGATGCAGGATTAACACCGGTAGGATTGGTAGGAGTAGCTGTTGTAGGAGGACTCATTTCAAGATCGGTAGGAGATAGGTTTTGCTCTTCATAATCAGATTCGGAAGCCATTTGATAAAAAGATTAGAAAATATAAGAGATTATTAGAGAGTATAAGAGAGTATAAGATTGTATAAGAGAGTATTAGAGAGAAGTAGATGAGTTTTGGTGTGAGGAGAAGAAGTAAAACCCCTTATTTATAGAGGCAACCTCCTAGGCAAATGATCAAAAACCCTCACCATATGACCATTTTTGATCTTTTTTGGGGACAAAATGGTCAAAAATCAAACTTGACCGTTATGGTCGGCCCGACCATAACGGTCACCTAGGTGAGCATTTGGCACAACGGTCACCTAGGTGAGCATTTGGCTCGAATTTGTTGCCCCAGCCAGCCTTGTTTCGATCCAGGCTGGACCTGGGCCGGGCATCGGGCGAGCCGACCCGTACCCGGGCCCGGAACCCGGTCTAGCCCGGGCCGACGGGCTTTTTGGACAGGCCTATCTAAAAATACAAGAATGAAGAAAGGCTTAATTTGCGCTTAAATGCCTTGCACTTTCCCCAACCTTGCACTTAAATAGCGTATAGTTCTAAACTGAATAAAAATATATTCCAAAGTATTTAACCGTTGCAAATAAATGCTCCATATTTAAAAAAAAATCTAGGCGGTGTTATTTTTTCTCTACGTCACATAATAAAGAGCACTAAAGTGAAACTCTTAGAAACATGAGGTATTTAAGTGAAGCAATTTACAAACTTTGGGGGCAATTAGATACAACATTGGGTAAACACGAGGGCACCATCATGTAACATTTTGAAACTTTGGGGTATTTTATCTGCAATATTTAAATACTATAGGGTATTTTTTTTTTGGTTTGAAAAAAGAGGGCACTTACAAGGTCTGGGAAACTATAAGACATTTAAGTGAAATTAAAGTTTTGTTATTTGCTGGCTCTAGCCACGGGCTGGCCCGTGGGAGCCCAGTATCGAGAGTTAAGAGATCCATGTTTCGCCGCTTGTTGTTAGTCCTCGAGCTTAGCCCACCTCCCTTGCAAGAGTAGGAACAAGCAGGGCAAATCACACGCGCTAGCTAGTCTAGTCGATCCACTTGATTATTTATTGTTATTTTTCTTATGTGTAAATCGTTTTTAATATTTTTAGTATTGTTTAACACTTAAAAATTATATGTAAATAGTAAAATAGCAATGTAATGATTAAAAGAATGTATAAATAATTTGTTGAGTAAAACTATATATTTATACATAATAACAGAGAGAAACATAGCAAATAAGAAATTTAATATGGTTCAGAGCAAGTTTTACATTCACAAGTAGCTAGGAGTGGATCTAGGAACTTTATTCGCTGGGGGCAAGACTAAGCAAAACTTGCCTGTGATATTTATACCTAAAATATTATGACACCAAAACGAAATGTGCATCTATAAACAAAATATAGCCAATAGAAGTGTTATATTAGAATTCAATAATGGTTCCTACAACATTCTCATATCTTTATGGTAAACAATAGTGTATGAGGAAGTTTACACAATCCTTGGGATCGAGAGCGGTGTAGTGATCTAGCAGGAGGAGGGTCTGTAATTAGGAGAAGGAATTGATGTTGGCATACCATATCGATTGATGATCATCACAACAGAGCAAAGATGCTATTAAAAAGAGAGCAGATGTATTTTAGAAGACTTTGGTAGAAATTACAATGGTTATCTAGAGATAGAGTAATGGAAATTGGGTAAATGGATTGGGTTTGTCCCATTTAGTATTTAATTTCAAAAATATTAGGGCTTGGTTCAATATGATACGAGTGTGGGGGCAAATGCAAACTCTTGGACCAAATATTAATATGGTTTTGTCGGGGTCAGTGGGGGCAGTTGACCCCATTGCCCTCTCTGTGAATCCGCCAGTGCGAGTAGCAAAATTGTTCCAATAGTTCAAAAAAGTACAAGAATAGCAAAATTTGAACAATTATAAATAACAATAATAATAATCAAATGCCGCTCCATGAGCCAGGACAAGCGGGTCAACTCGCCTATCTACTAGCTTAGTTCAACCGGAGGGCCTTGTGGGCCGAACAAGTTACTGGTTCGTATTTGGTTGGTGTTGGGAATTTAACGCCTAAATCCCCTAATGCAACAGAAACGCAGAATAGAGAACAGTACACCAAGTTTTAACGAGGTTCGGCAACTGCCTACGTCCTCGGGAGCCACACAGTCAATTTCTTATTTAATCTAACAAGAAATTACAAATCAAGAGCAAATCTCTAAACTGAGATTCCTCAAACAAACACTGTAGCTACAGTGTTAATACCCACAATAAAATCCCCTCTTCTGTTTTCTCTCTCTTCTTAAACTCTATTCTTAATCTCCCCTCAAATGAAATTGAGAGCTGGAGATTATCAAAATCGCTACTGCGATTTGGGGATTGAACGCTGCTGCGTTTGGGGTTTTTCACCGCCGCCAGAGAAAGAGGTCGGGGGAGAAGGAGCGGTTAGGGCATCGGGTAGAGAGGGCTTTTTATAGCCGAAAATTGACAGGCTGGCGACAGCCTGTCGCCAGCGGTGCGATGGACGCGGAGGTGGGAGGCCAGAGACGCGATGGTCGGTGGCCAAAGACGCGATGGTCGAGCGCTCGAACGCGGGGATCGAAGAGCTCGCACGCGGAGGTCGACACCCGCGTTCACCTGCAGCTTCGCCTGTTCTATCTTCACCTGAAGCTTTCGCCGTCGACTCCCACGCTCACCTGCATCTTCCTGGAGCTCGTCGGAGCTCCTCCGCCATCGTAGGTTGGTATCCACCCCCAACCTAACAGTTGGAGCTGACCAAGCTCAGTCCTACGGCCCATGCTGGCTATAGCAGGCTTAGATAAGCCCCAATAAAGTGTTTTGGGGGTTTTATGATTTTGGAATCTAGTGAGAGTTTCAAACTTTTAGGGGGCTAAGTGCCAAATGCGCAAACTTTTGATGATTTAGTGATATTTATCCCAATATGAAAAATAAAAAGCGATGGAGAGATTTGGAATCTTTTTTCATGTATTAAAGTTTTTTTGATTACATGAGCTTTAGGGGGTGTTTGTTTCACCAAAAAATTTGGCATTTAGTATGGACTAGTATGCAATACTTGCGTTGCACGTGATGCATATTAAGAAACTACAATAGTCAAAATCCATAATGTTTCCATATTATGCATTGAACTTATACACAATACACAGGATGAATGTAGGGGTGCCAAACAGTTCAAATCTATCCGAACCGATCCACATCCATATCCGAATGGATGCAGATATTCCAATTCTGCCGCCCGCTCACGTCCTCCAGTCGCCCATGTTGTCATCCCGTCTCCCTCGTCCCGTCGTCCCATCACTGTTTGATATTCCAGTTCGATGTCATCACCCTCATCATCATTCAGCTCGATGTAGTCGCCCTTGTCGTCATCCAGTTCAACGCTATTGCTCGTTGTCGTTCATCCAGTTCGATGTCGTCGCGCCTCGTGGTCGGGTGTCGTCCAGTTCGCATGCCGTCATCGTCCAGTTGCGCACGGCCATTAATCATCCAGTCCATGCCATCACCACGTCGTCATTCCAAGTTTCCTGTTGTCCGCCGCGCCTCATCTTCGCCCGCCCGCCTCATCGTTGTCAAATCTCGCCGTCGGATTCGTCGTTTGTTCCATAAGGTTGAATCAAAACTCTACTTTTAATTTCATTGTCAATATGTTATATGTGAATATAAGATTTTTGATTAAGTTTTTTAATTTATTGAATAGAAATCATATCTAATCCTTCGATTCAAGTGTCTAATGAAGAACAAACTTTTGAGCCTAATCCTTTTGATTATATGTGAATTAAGTTGTTTTGAACTGATGTTATTATATATAAATTGCTCTTTTGATGTTTTACTTTGTTGGTTATAGCAACTGCTTAGATACTTTATATCAAATCCAGGTACAATTGATAATATTATATGTATTTGCAATTCATATCTATTTGTCGAATATCTATTTCATATATGTGACCGTATCCGATCTGATTCTCAAATATCCAAACTGTATCCATTTTCGATAAGTGTGGATATGATTAGGGTTTTTTCTTACCGAAGATAATCCGTATCCGTATCCATATCCGTTTATAGAAAGCGGATATGGATATGGTACGTGTCATATCTGAACTGTATCCGCTCCGTTAACACTCCTAGATGAATGTCAGTTAATTATCTCACAGGACTTAGGATAATGTTCATAGAGAAGGAACCTAATCAACCATATATATGATTTGCATGATAAAAATGACTATACAATCAAGAAGAAGTAAGTTGACCTTAACTGCAAATAACTAATATTCAGCATCACATTACAAATCTGGAAAGTATTAAATTAGCATGGCGATATAAATACAATGCGAGGAAAAAAGAGTCAACATGATAGCTCGCAAATATAGTTTTATTGTTAAAAGCCAAATTACCTCTTGTATAATCTGTAATATGTTTTATATGCTAAATTTTCAATTTGATGATTTAAGATATCTCTACATTACATTTAATCATGAATAAACTCTTTCCACTTCTCTATATTATCGGCTTGCTACATAATACGTATAAAGTAACATATCATAATTGCACACACTGAGAGGGAAAGAAACTTGATTCTTGAATTACAAAATTAAAAAGTAGTTCTGTTAAATATGATCTACTACACAGTAAAAAATTAGTCTTTTTTGAAAGATTTCAACATATTTTATGTATGTGTCTTGCTTTGTTAAAATCAACATTTTAAAATAATCATAAAGCTGGTTAATTTTTTCTCTCTTAACAGATGATCGAAAACACACTGAATTCATTGAAAAGTTTATTTTAAGGTCGTTAATATGTATTACATCACAATGATCACATCCAGTGATACAAAATTTCAATTTTGAAATTCAAATTGTCAATTTAGATTGATAGTATTCAAAATTCGATAGAGTATCGAGTATATTGACATTTCTTCCTCATGTTTTTTCATTGTAATTACATATTGTT